GAATCGATATCGAAAAGCTGATTACTCTGTAATTAAATTGAAATTCTTGTTTCAAGCATAAAGGTAAAACGTACTGAGATATTACGAACAACAGAGATTTAAATTAAGAGTGGGAACGAAATATTGTACATATGACTTTAAAACAACTATCGCACATGAATGTATCTAATAATTATTTAATATATTGCAAACATAAATGGTGTTCTATGTTTCTATGGTTTCTAAAATCCCAAGATTCAAATTTACATCCGCCATTTGAAATTTCAAATCACATCAGATGGTAGTTATTTTGCAATGGGGTTAAAAGTGTTACGCATGTGCAGCGCCGCCGATGCACCAGCGCAGCATCTCATAATTTTTAAAAATAACGGTTAAATTTTCATCATAACTTTAAAATATCATATTTGCGATTAAAAAATATTTATGATAATCAACATACAACACACATTACTGCATACCTTAGTCCTCCATTTCAAATCACGAGTCCACTGGTTCTATGTTTTCCAATATTATCATCACAACAGCGTTAGCAAAAGACAAGTAAAGATTCTTCAAGATGACATCCATCTTAATCCAACGATTCGATTTACACACAAACAACGTAACACACTTATTATGTATTTATGACAATGGAAACGATAAAAAGGAAAGTAAGAGCATCATTTCACAAACGGAAAGAGAGTGTTAATGTTGGCGGTAACAGCTGATTCAAAAGACTGACCTCTGGCGGCCGACCACTAAACCCATTAACATGGAAGAAAGAAAGACGTCTAGAGAGGGGGAAACAGAAAGAGAAACGCGAGACGGGCTACATAGGCGCAGTCTTGCGGCGGATTTTCGTATGAGAGAAAGATCAATGGGCGGTCAGAGAGTAAGATGGCGGACTGCGAGTCGGAGGTGCAGCGCTTGTCAGCCGCGGACGAGGACGTAACGAGAAACGCGAGCGTGACGATGATCACCAACGGGCGCGTTCCTCAACACCCGGTAAACCAGACAAATCCGATCGAACAGGGGCCAAGATGCGTCATCATTTACAAAACTGAGACTGGTTTTGGGTTCAATGTACGCGGTCAGGTCAGCGAGGGTGGACAGCTCAGAAGCATCAACGGAGAATTGTACGCGCCGCTTCAGCATGTCAGCGCTGTATTACCTCGAGGCGCTGCTGAGAAAGCCGGTGTACGAAAAGGCGATCGCATATTAGAAGTGTGAGTAATCCACTCTCTCGCTTCGTTTGTTTTCTTTTCGAAGTTCTCCGATCATTTTGTTTCTTTGCGCTCTTTAGCTTACGATCTGATCATTGTACGTTTACCTGTCAAACGAGTACCGACTTTTACCTCGTCTGAGAAGTAAGAGTATTTCTTATTGGATATTTACAGGATAAAGATCGCATACAGCCACTCGTTGTATCCACTGTGTGCGAATTGTAGCGGGCTACCCGAAAATTGTTAACCGCATAGATTGAACAGCCGAATTGCTGTTTGCTTTAAGCTTTATCGATACCGCTCGTTTTAATCAATTTCACTGGTTAGACGTAATCTCTCCCAGTACAGAAGTTTCTGAGTTAGGTTTACATTTCACCTGATCCTACCATTCTATCAGGAAGTGAACATTTAATTCTGCTTTTGTTTCACTCGATTTTCGATCTTTTCGCTGTATATCCTTTTGTTAACGGTCAGTATTATCTACATAGACATATATTTTAGAAGATATTTAGAAGATTTGTATAGCAGACGTTTTTGGAAAGGAAAATCTATACCGATCAATCGAGAGTTTCCAATTTTAATTCTCAAGCATCAAAATATATTATTCGATTAGAAACGTAATTGTCGTAACGATGTAACTGAAATAACGGTACAGACAAACATACACGCCTTCTACTTCGTAAGTAAGTTCTTTTGTTTGTATTTTTATAAGAAAGAATGTAGTATAAAACAGTAATACGTTTCCACGTTGAAGGGAATATGACACAGTGTCGAGTTTGCAAATCAAAAACATCATAGCATTTATTCTCCTGATTTATGCTAGTCTCATGTGTAGATCTCCGATTTATATCGAGGAATGACGACTTTCTAAATGAAAAGCTGCTTTATCGACGCGATACTATGTAATTATCGCGATCAAAGTTATTCAAAACTACTCAAGTTTCGATCGCGCGTTTTGACGTTTCGAAAAGTCGATTCGAATCGTTGAAAAAGCTTGCCCATTTGACTCTTCACTGAAACTATTCTTTGGCCTTACTTCAAACCGGTCATTATGCTAATTATACCTGTACGAGGTAATTAAACACTGTTGAATAACCAACAATAACCAACATGTAATAAAATTCGGAATGATATTTATTTCGTCGCTTTCGCTCTTGTTTATAACGGAAATATGTTTGATACAGTAGTCTCTGCTGCTTAATCAGCCAGACGAATTTAAATTGAATGAAGCTTCTTATGTACCTCATGGCATTAATCCAGCTGCATTGTTTCGACCATTTTCGATCCACTTGTACTTTTCTAACATTGAAAAATATCTCAGGTTTTAACAAAATATGAAAAAGATCTTATTGGTGTGCATGATATCTCATTTAAAAATGTTACGTTGAAATCTTCTTAAGCCATTACAAAATATACTTTTTGTTTGCTGCAATGAGAGCAAAATTGAAATATAAAAACTTGAGGATCGCAACAGGATCCAAAGACGATTTTTGCATTTCAACTTTATTATTTTTATATTTTGTAATAATAAAGTAAATGTTTGCACGTATTTGCTGTAATCTAGATAGCGATTAATATTTGACTAATATTTCTCTGTTTTCGGTCGATCGTTTTAAATTCGCGCGAACAAAATATGAGAACGTATCCTGTCGACAGCCTTTTCTTCTCCACTTCCCCTCCATTTCCTGGTACTTCCGACCTGGTGTTTTTCTTATCTTTTTCTGCGTTAGAAAACGCAACAGTATTATTATCGGCCCGATCTTTCGCTGTTGATTTCGCAAGATCGGTAATCGCCTTTGCAATTGGAATTTCAACGAAGCGTGCGATAATTTATCAATTTAAACATCGTGATACATTAACTGGGATGAAGTTAATTTTCTTTCCCATTTCTAATGGGAATTCCTACTCTAATCTTTTTGTTTTCAGTGTTATTCCCCATTTATGAAATGGAAGTGCAATCTCTGATTTTTATGTGATCGATGTATCAATAGGAAAGCTACTTATTATTGAGCATGGCTTTTTAAATTCTTTCTCTGGCGTATAATTCGTAATATCCTTATTTACCACAAGTCCAATGAACGTTTTAAAACAGTTTTAGGCGTAACAGCTGTTGTTGCGATACAATTAGAATGGAAAAAATAAATTTAAGTTCCGTTCGAAGCATATGTCATTTAACTTGAGGACGGACTTAGATGTATTATCAGCTGCAAGATATACTTAAAAACATTTTACTGACTGACAAATAAATTTACCGCCTGTTGCATAATTATTATCGGTATAAAGCGTAATGTCAAGGCAAAAAAGAACAGACATATGGTAATACATACGTGGATTCTAACCATTCTATAATGATCGTCTAATGGTACTGTAAACTTGTTGGTTTGTTAATTTTATTCGCGTAGGGCGTCGTTGAAAACGAATAGGAAAATACGATTCACGATATACATAATAAGTGTTAAAAACGGTTCTATCGAATACTCGATAATTATTAAATGTCTACTTGCAATATATACTTGCAAGAAATATTTTCTAGCTTTCTTGTACACTTCCAGATTTGTGCCAAATTGTATGATGTCTGTATCGCTGTAATCATGACATTCGTGTCTCACTATAGCGTTAATGAAATTTCAAAATGTTTAGCGTAACATATATAATGCATTTGTAAAACATTCCTATAGATGTTGAAATATTCACACGAGTCACTGTGTATAACTATCGTTATGAAAACAAAACTTGTATAAGCAGGCTATTCCCAGACGTAAACAGTTTGCTTTGTAGCTTTGTTTTTTTGTCCAAGGAAGATTAACAGAAGACATTGTTCCCAGGGAAAAATGTATCAAGGTTTATTAGTTAATTCGTTATCTTGAGTAAGCGCAATAGGTCAGTGTACTTGGTTGAACCAACTCGAGAAATCAGACGTTAATCACGTAAGTAAGTACCTATATCTACTATTTACAGTAACTTTTTTTTTTTTATCATTTACACACACGCTGACGATGGTAATTAGAGTAGAAAGCAAATTCTGTAGAAAGCAACTCGATAACATAAAGAGTTAATATGTTCGCTTGGCAAAATACTATAATTAACGTAAAACTGAGACAAGGTCGACATAGAAATTTGATTCTTCTCTTCGATACGCTAGCTTCATCAAGCATCGAAGCTTGCAGAAGGTTTGTCCCTTGTACGGCTTCTAACAAGTGGTTACACGTACGCGTGGCGATCTCGTGGATGGACTTTTCAGCCGCCAAGGACACGATATTAAATTAGAGTGAAACGGGTGTTTCTTCGACGCGATTATGTGCCTCAGAAAAAAAAAGAAGAAAATCGCTAAGCTTTAAACGAAACTTGGAAGTAATACCAGAAAATGTAGACGAAAGAGTAGAATGTTAGAGATAATTCCGTATCAGTTGTTAAGGTGGATACGAGTAAGAAATAACGATATCATCTAATCTGTAAAGAATTAGCTAATTTCTAATCGAATCGAAGAATTTCCTAATCGTTCAACATAGGAAGTTTATATATACTTTATTTATCTATATAGTTTATTTTTTTTATTTATTTTTTATATTTATTTTTATTTATATTTATTTTTTAATATTTATTTTTTAATTTTCAATAAGCAATATTTATTTTTTAATATTCAGTTCCTATATTTCTTCATTTCCTGCATCTCATCACGTACAATCTTATTATTGCCATTGATCCATCTGATACCGTTTATATCTGCAATCCGTTTTACTAGTTGCACCTGGACCAGTTTCATTGGAATAGCTGAGTAATTATATGAATGAACTGGTATGAAGAAACACCACATGGTTTATTCAATTAGTCTATAGGCTAATGTTTGTAGCTATCGTATTGCTAATATCTAAGCTTAATTTAATAAAGAAGACCAGGATCTCATGCTTGGTTTTGTAAATTCGAAGAATAAGAAATTCATAAATAAACATAACGTTGAATTTTCTCGAAACTTTTTAATAACTGCGTAAAATTATTTATTAATGTCTGTTTAATATATTATGTACGGGTTAATTTCACGCAGACGTAATTGTATGCACAAGAATGCAAATAATGATCATTGATGAATGATTTATTTCACACGATGCGGCACTAGATATTTCGTAACTTCAGTGATTACCAGACTACGAGTGTTTATGCAAATTTGGTTACATTACTACCTGAAAAAGTAAAATCTATGTGATAATTTGTTTCAAATGCTAAACGTTATATGAAACACTATGCTTTGAATACGTTATATATCTTTTTTACATACAGTCTAAAGATTTGTACATCTTAAAATTGTTCAGAAATGCATAAACATCCGCAGCCTAGCTATTGCCACAAATACAATTCCTCGAATTCATCGTTCTAAATCGATGAAATACGAAGTTTCATCATGATGTATATTAACCGTACGTTATGCATACTTCGTCCGTGCTGTTACTCTTTCATGACATTGTGTTTGGTAACTTACTAATAGATAACTAGTTCACATTTTCATCGTAATAGCAGATTATCTCGCTCCTGTTGAAATGTATCGTTTGGTTGACATACCGATAAATGTAAATACGCTTGGCATTCAGATATATGTATATGACCTCTTTTCTACGTTACATCTTGCGCTAAGTGCGAAAAATATTGTGGAAAAATAACGTGATCGTAATGACGATTAATAACAAGAACACTCGATAAAGGAATTTTATCGATATTTTTAAAAAAAATTGCAACACGTTACGTGTATGTAATTCTTTTTCTCGACGAATGATCGATTCCGCGACACTCGGACAAACACCGAGTACTACCGTGTTATCGTTCATTCAGCGAATTCATCGCGATTTGCTTGCTTAGCTTTCCCTTCAATTACGTCCGCGACTGTGTCGATTAAAGCCTGGAGAACTGAAAGCCTTTGATGGAAACGAGTAGAATTGAATTGGTGATCAAATCTGTAGGATTTATTTTTCTTTTGGATAAGGTCAACGTACGATTAACAGTGGATGCAATGCAGATAGTATCGCGTGTTGATAATTGTAAACTTCGTCAGTTATCAATCAACGATGAGTATATTAAATCCTATCTTGGAGCGTTTTCAGCACGCCCGAAGTATTCGGTCGTTTGCGAGATTAAACTGAAAAGAAAAAGCAAAGAGTTCCGCAGTTTACGTTTATGTAATTCTTGCCAATTATATATTACATGATTACGTACATTTTTACATGATTGGTATCCTCTTTCGACCAGACTGCGTCGTAGGAAAAGTAGCACGCGATAAAGAAACAAACGATAGTTTTATCGAGACCCATATATCTCGGTAAATCCATTTCCTTATCTTCTGTTCTTCTCCCTTCTTTTCTTCTCTTTCTCTTCAAGCACCGATCTTGACGAGAATATTAAATTGTCATTAGACTTATAAAACATTTAAAAATCAGTTTCGATAGTTCTATTTTTATCTTTGATCAATAATAGTCGCCCTTATCTTTCATTGATTTCATTACAGTCTGTTCAGGTCAAATTACATCGTTCTAAATCGTAAGAGAAGCGAGGCGATTTTCTGTTGCTCCGATACTTATCCGGGACAGACGCGCAGAACACCTGAAAAACGGTTTGCTGTAAAAATAGCAACTCTCATTAAATATACTCGCATTGTCGTACGAGTCTATTAACAGCCCATGGCAGGAAAGTTGCGAAGAAAGTTTATCTTTCGCAATAAATTGATAAAACTTGAGCTTAACGATTATACTCTCGATTCTCAACGCAATATATGCGTAACAGTTTCCCATTGAAAATATTCAAATACTTTCGCCGATCGTTGGATAAATTGATCGTCGATGAAAAGTCATCGTATACGACAAGAGTATTAATAATCAGAAGCATAGTAATTTTTTTTTCGTTTACAACGCGTGGCGTTATCTGGTCAACCCAGTTCGCTACAGAATCAAAGATAATAAAATAAAGTTAAGGTGAAGGGGGGGAGGGGGGATACGAGGTCGATAGGGAGAAGTATAAAATGCACTGTTTATGCTTAGTTGGAGTGTAGATCGCAAATCGATCGCAGAGTCGTGCCTCCTCTCCCGACCAATAACAGTCGTCCTTTCACGCGTGGAATTCGAAGTTCGACCAAGGCTGGTCACCTGTTTTCCTCCTTCCTTTCCTCCTGTGTTTCTTTTAGTTGTGAAAGTCAAAACTAGCCACGGAATCGCGACTGGACAGAGAAAGAAAGAAGGAAAGAAACTGCAACAGTTGCTTTCTTTCCTCGCTGTGTAGCTTCGAGTGTAGTCCGAACAGAGCCTAACAAGTCGCTGCTTTGATTTTGCAACAGTTGACAACTTTTTCTCGATATCGTGGTGATAAAACTATAAAATGTTGACGTGTTATGTCACTGCAGTTCAATGCGAGTGGATGGAAAATCGTGGACGTCGCGGACCGAATCTTGACTCGCGGTTCAAAGCAATCACGGCAGGGTAAAAGAAAGATGTGTGAAATGATTTGTAGATGTACTTTTTGGAAGATAAAGACATGGTCTTGTTACAGAAACAATGTGAACGTCGAGGGAGCCACCCACAAGCAAGTGGTGGATTTGATCAAGTCAGGCGGTGATGTCTTAACGCTGACTGTTATCTCCGTTACGCCGCAGGAAGCGGAAAAGTTAGAACCTTTCGAAGATTTAAGGTACGCAAGTTGCCTTACGATCTATCGTGATAGTCTCTTTAAGAGATAAGATCTTCAAATTTTAAAGAGACTTAGGTGCTTAAAATCTTCTAAGATCTCTTAAAGATGGATTCTTAAGTCTTCGATCTATTGACGTGCACAGTCATCTATCAGGCGATGGGATCATCCGTTGCGAAAAAATGTTGTATGTCAATGAGTTTCAAGATTTCGAGACTTTTGGAGCGTTTGAAGATCTTGCGATAGATTTTCAAGCGTATTAAATGATTCCTTGTTTTCACTTTCCGCGCATTTATATTGGTCGATTACGCTTTCTCCTAGTTATGCATCGGTGGACTACAGCGAGAAGCGATCTCTACCTATCAGCGTGCCGGATTATCACGTCCGTGAGAGGAAGCACGAGCGTTATGTGGTTTTCAACGTTCACATGGCAGGCAGACATTTGTGCTCTCGACGCTATCGAGAATTCGCTGCACTGCATATGGCACTGAAGAAGGAATTTATCGGTTTTAACTTCCCTAAGCTACCAGGAAAATGGCCATTTCAGTATGATATCCATATCAAATTCCGAATTTTTCGGCTCGACCCGTGCGTCTGATGTATTTTTATATGTAAATATTGTCATATTTGTGCGTAGATTGAGCGAGCTTCAACTGGACGCGAGAAGGCGCGGGTTAGAACAGTATTTGGAGAAGGTTTGCGCCGTGCGCGTAATTGCCGAAAGCGATATCATGCAAGAATTCTTGGCCGATAGACTCGAAGAGGATGGAGATCAAGGTCCAGCTGTCGATTTAAAAGTACTATTGCCGGATCGCGAGGTTGTTACCATAACTGTGGCTAAAGCTGCCTCCGTCAGCGACGTATACGATGCAGTTTGCAGTAGAGTGGGACTAGACGCGGAAACCGCGAAATACTTTTATCTTTTCGAGATCGTGGAATATAATTTCGGTACGTTATTTGGAAGTAAATTCAGTAGATCGAATTATTTAATACAGTGGTTACAAAAAAGTATTGACACACGATTGTATTTATTATAATATTTACATGATAATTAATTAGATCAAAGTAGTAAACATATATGAAAGGGATATATTAAACGAATATATAATTATATTAAAAATGAAGTGTAGAATCTGATAAAAAGCGCTTCATTGGAAAATATGGATATGTGGCAAGATCTATTGTTAACTACTGTAATATATCCAGAGATGTCATTCGTTTTAATAGAATACCGTTTGTTTCGCAGAAAGAAAGCTGCAACCCCATGAACATCCTCATACCTTGTACGTTCAAAATTACTCGACCGCCAGTGTGACGTGTTTAGCAATAAGAAGGTGGCTTTTCAATGTAAATAGACCACTCAGCGAGCAAGCATTAACCTGGACCTTCTGGCAAACTGTGGACGAAGTTAACAGAGGACACATTTCGGCCGGCGAGAGATTGTATCAGTTGAAAGCATTGCAAGACGCGTCGAGGAAACACGAGGTACGAGCGATTCTTTATTTCTATGTAATATGTGCTGTACCTTCGTCAGTTTCAAAAGTCTTGTATTCACATTCCCTTTTTATCCTTTTGTTTGTAGTACCTAAAACTAGCGAAAGAATTGAGCGGTTACGGCGATATCGTGTTCCCTCATTGCGCGTGCGACTCACGAAAGGAAGGACACGTTGTTCCCGCTGTTGGAACACCGGCATTTAAGCTACACGCAGCGAAGGAGGACGGCACTTTGGAATCTCAAGTCGTTGAATTTCACTGGAACACCATTACTCGATGGGAGGTAGACGAAGAAGGAATGGCGTTCTGCTTTCAATACACGCGCCAAGACAACCGTCCACCGCGTTGGCTAAAGCTTTTCACACCTTATGTAAGTAGCGAGTTCCCCCTTTTTTCTTATTCAAAAGATGAATTTCAATAACTTGCTGCAATGTGTTACTGTACATTGATTGCAGTCATTTCTTTTGATAGCAGAGTAATGCTGTTTTACGAGTCGTTCTCTATTTTCTATTTTTACCTGGATGTTGTATGATAATACAATAGTTAATAATCTGTTTACTCGCTATGTATAGGTGATATGTTGTGAGAGGATGCTGTTACATTATTCATGATCTGTCTTTTCCATTTCTTTTTTCGTGTTGTATCGTTACGATTTAATCAAACTATTTTGCATATTTACGATCGAACATATTACGTTTTATTTGCAGTACACGTTCCTGTCAGATTGTTTTGACCGAATAGCCGAAGAAGCAAAGTGGGACGATCCAGGAGAATGAGGTAACGTGCGGCGTTAAAAAACGTGTATGGTGCATAATAGCAAAGGTATCGTCTCATCGGATACATTTCACTTATCTTTGTAGCAAGAACTTTTTGATTAGGATTACTTTTCTAAGACGATTAAAAAATTAACGGGACACCCTGATCACACCAGACTCCTGTTTGATTAGTTTCACGATGCTATGAACACAGTGCATCTGTTACGTATTAGTGTACGATCTTTTAATAGTATTGCAAATACGAAAAGTACTACTAGAAAATTAACATTTTCCTTTTGTTCTAAACAAAAGAGCAAACATCAGCATCAGATGGATGTAAACGTATCGTTGTATCTCTAGCTGGTAACACTTCTATCGTAGATTGCGCTACTTTAGTTAGAAAGGGAAGAATACTAAGCGATCGCATTACTTTCTATGTAAGATATTGTTGCTATAGTATCATGCTAAAACACCAGATGAATAGATGAACCTATTCTTTGGCCTATCGTTCATCGTGTATAACGTATCTTTGGGTCTCGATCGGGAGAATCATTGAATTACGAGACGTTCCTTTCTACTAGCCTAATAAGTATCGCCAACTTTCGTTCGTTGAATCCTTACGAGTATATGGACTTAACCAACAAGTATTATCTTTTAAGGGTTAGTTTTCTTTATACTCTGTGCGCATTTTTTTTACTTTTTTTTTTTACATTTTTTTCCAGCCCGTTTTCATCTACGTATACGGTTGTATGTACTTGATAACGAAGTAGAGATTTTCCCAACATCCAGTTCATGTTATCATGTGTGTAAAGTAAGCGTAATAGTGGTTCGAACGATAGCACAGATTACTTTTTCCCGAAGCTATATTTTTACTATTACAGAAGCAGGAGTATAAAGTAAAAATTGTTTTCGATCCGATCTCGTGTAATCGCGCGCCGGTAGTGTACAAATGGTGAATATACGTATACCAGAGATTGTAAACGAGACGCGATCCAACTTAAAAATCGTAGCTGTGCTTAGACATTGAAATCATCGTTAAATTCGCAAACAAATACACTTCATTATCCTTCATTATACGACGACAACATTCGTAACGTGTGTAAACGTTTGTTTAAAGATAAAACTTAAGGTAACGATGATTTAGCGATGGAAGAAACAAGAAGCGTCAAGATCCCACAAATATAAATAAGACTTAAGAGAAACGTTAAGAGTTAAAGAAAGACATGGGTAGAACGCCATAGCAGATGAGCAAAGAAAGATAATACTCAGTGACATTGTTAAAGAAGATACAGATAATAAGAAAGAAACGATTATATATGAATAATTTTAGCGTCTTTAAGACCGGTAAATACACTGATGAACCTTTAAAGCATCTTGGCCTGTTCGTCGTGTTAACCGATGGAACAGCGAATTGTTCGGAACCAATCTATCGCTGGGAACACCACATTCGTCGTTATGGTCTCTCTA